GAACCCCTAGGGGGTGCAGGGTTACCCTGCCACCTGCGGGTTGCCACAGGGCACCACCCACGGAACCGTAGCTCATGTGGCTTTGTGGGGTGGGGACTTCTGAGGGTCTGAGCTGGAAGGAATTTGGCAGATCATCTGGGCCCACCCCTCATTGCACAGAGGAGGAGACCGAGGTTCAGCAAGGGGCAGTCACCTCCCGTGTCGCCATTGGTTGGGACCAGGCTGCGCGCAGGGGCTCCCGCTGTATGGGGGTGGGGCGCGGGGTGGGGAGAACGTCCTCCTTATGCTGCGTGGCCCGCTGCTCTATTGTGAGGTTTAAGAATGGGCAGGGCAGCAACCTGGACGGCGGCAACTACCACGTCTACGAGAACGGCAGCCTGGAGATCAAGATGATCCGCAAAGAGGACCAAGGCATCTACACCTGTGTCGCCACCAACATTCTGGGCAAAGCTGAAAACCAGGTCCGCCTGGAGGTCAAAGGTAAGGGCCCTGGGCTCATGGGTCAGAGTGCAGAGTGGGGCAAGGACACCCACATGGGAGGTGCCATGTGTTTAGTCCCGAGCGGGGGTCTCCCTGTGCATCTGTGTGACTCCTCGAGCCCACCCCACCCCCTGGCAACCAGTCCTTTATAATCAGCATGTTCCTGATGGAACTGGGTGGCCCCTCCTGAGAGTTAGCTGCCTGCATTCCAGGGAGCGAGGCAGAGAGGACTCTGGGATTGCTTATATGGGGGAACCCACACCACCCCTGTCCATGGCTGTCCCCAGGGGTCTGGGGTCTGCATGTCACCCTGTGAGGGCAGGCGGGGGACGGTGGCCAGGGAGCAAGTCAGTGAAAGGTCCCTGGGCTTCCTCTTAGACCCCACTCGGATCTTCCGGATGCCCGAGGACCAGTCAGCCCAGAGGGGCACCACGGTGCAGCTGGAGTGCCGGGTGAAGCATGACCCATCCCTGAAGCTCACCGTCCACTGGCTGAAGGATGATGAGCCGCTCTACATGGGAAACAGGTGCCTCTGCCCCCTCCTCCAGCTGCTGGAGTGACATTTTCTTCTCCCTCCCCTGGGTGGCACACTGTGGCACCTGTTGCTGTGGCTGATGGGAGAACAGGGGCCTCCCTCTGGCTTACCTCTCCCCTCCTATCAGCCTCCTGCTTCTCTAGCCATCACCTCTCTTCTCCTCTTCCTCAAGGAGCCCTGGTGGCACTGTGGGGTAAACACTGGGATGCTGACTGCAAGGTCGATGGTTCAAAACCATGAGCCACTCTGAGGGAGAAAAATGAGGCTGTCTGTCCCCATAAAAGGCTGCCAGAGGGGTTGGGTGTCTGGCGTGAGTTAGGAGCCCTAGTGGGCTGTAGATTAGGCATCGGACTGCCCACAGCCAGGCTGGTGCTTCAAGCCCATCAAGTAAGTGAAGCTGTCTTCTCCCATCAAGATCAAGAGTCTTCACAGAAGCCCTGTGAGTTGAAAGCGACAGACACAGCAAGGGGTTTCGCTTCTGGTTTTCTCCTCTTTTGCCCTTTCTCTCTTCATGCCTGCTCTCCCTCTCCTTCTCCTTTTCTTCTGAACGCCCCTCTCTTTCCTTCCTTCTAAACCCCCCTCTCTTTCCTTCTTTCTAAACCCCTGGCCTTCTCTGCCACAACCAGGACCTGACTTTCCAACCTTGCAACCCCACTTGAAGTTCCCCCATTTTCCAGTAGAGGGCAGGGCGGGCTGGCGCCATCTCTAGCTATGTCCTGGCTTCTTGAAATTATAGGTAGCAAGGGGGTGGGTACTTCTCAGCCCTGGTTGCATCCTGCGGTCACCTGTGAAGCTTTTAAACACACCTGC